TAGAATACTAGAATACTAGAATACTAGAATACTAGAATACTAGAATACTAGGATACTAGAATACTAGAATACTAGAATACTAGAATACTAGAATACTAGAATACTGGAATACTAGAATAGTAGAATACTAGAATACTAGAATACTAGAATACTAGAATACTAGAATACTAGAATACTTGAATACTAGAAACGAGCGAGGGGTCGAAAGCTCGATAAACAATGAATAAATTATCTGATGAAATGTGATGTTAAATATTTAATGAACCATGTGGCTCCGCTAATATAGCAGATAATGACAAAAATTTGTATTTGTATTCTATATTAAAAAAATGACTAATTTTTTTCTTCAATGACATATTATAGACCTACATAGAATAATAAAAATTTAGTTTTTCTAAATCTCATCTCTTTTCTTGCTCATCTCGTTCTATTTTCTATTTCCAAAATTAAAACACGAATACATTCAACCCGATATTGGCGGTAAGGGTTAAAATCAACAAATATTAAGGTTTTCATCGAATTTTATATTAGTGTTAGTGTTTTATTGTTTTATTGTTGTGGTATTTTCAATTTTAAATCATGAACATCTGCCATTTTACTTTTACACAAATCTGAAAAATGTGCCTGATTCTTCCTTGGTCTCAATTAAACAGTTTTTGGTTTAAAACTCCAAAAAAAAATACTATTTAACAAATATTTAAACCGTGGAGGTTTATACTTAAACTAGTATCCATGGGCTTCACGACCCTCTTTCTAATTTGATTACAATTTGTTTCTTGTTGTTGAACCTTCGAGAATGGTTTATGTTTACATTTTAAAGATAAAACAGAAACCGGTCTAATTCGCAGATTCTCTTGTTCTTACTGCCGAATTTTTATTGCGCTTCTTGTCGATTTTAAATGCAAAGAGTTTTTATTGTGTGTTGTCATTGTTTATGTCTGTTGTCTGTGTTTGGGGTCGGTGCGGAGTTTGTTAGATTCTGACATGTGTCCCTGGTTAAGTTGTTTGTGTCTTTCAGATGCGTGTGGCTGGTGTGTTTATAGTGTGTGTGTGTGTATCGTGTAAGTGTGTTTTTGGTTTGTGTATAGGCTTGGTGCATGGTGTGATCTAGTGTCTGGTTTGTATGTCTGTGTATGTTAGGAGTGTGTGTTTGTGTGCAAGCTGTCAATCTTATATTGAAGTACTAATCAAATCCTCGTTAGGAACTAACCCTGGTATTTATCCTGCCCCTAGTGTACCAGGAGAACCAGGAGAACCATGTATATTGTTTTGTCAATCCAAACACGCAAAAGTAACAAATCCGTCAAACAATTTATCAAAATATAAAAGATTTCAATCGAGAAAATTATCAAAAGAAAACTAATTTCTATTGGTTGAAACACATGATTAAAGAAAATAATGTAAAATAGAAAAACTTGAATAATGATAATATTTTACCTTATTCATAAACAGACAAACAATCAGCTTACAGGTGTAGTCAACAAAAACAGGGCTAATAGCACTAGTGATATATATATATATATATATATATAGATATATATATTTGTATACAAAATAGATAAGTACATTGATAGATAGATAGCGTGCAGCACGCTATATTTACATTAAAACAAATACAAATCTTCATCATTAAGTATAATGTTCTATCTAAACACATTTGCGGTAAAATATAACTTACTTGGTTTACACTGTGCACTTTAATAGATACGTGCACTTAGACGCGCGTTTAATTTCCAAAACTTTAAAAAGCACGTTAGCATAATGAGCTTTAACTCCACGATCAGTTAATATTAAAGGAATTGTTCAACTAATTTCAAGAGAGCCTCAATTCAAAGCGTTTCAAATCACTTCAATGACAGCCTTGATCCCTGTATGGAATTAACAATGAAGACGATATCTCGTCCATTCTCTGCTCTTTAAAAGGTGTATATTCTCTCCGTTTCCTTCACTGTCTCTGCTTTTTAAATCCGCAACGTACTCTTTTAATTGCAATAACAAAGCTGACTCGTGTATTTTTTCCTCTAACAAAGGTGGACAGAGTACCAAATTGTGAATCAGAACTGTTACTTTAAATACTAAATAGACACTTTAAATTTCTTCATCAGTCCCTTTAGAGCTTTTTTAATATTTTTGTCTTGTTTTCTGAGATTTTACGAAACAAATGTTTAAATGGCAAAAAAATACTCTGTGGCAATTTAGTATCGCAATTATCCGAAGTTTAAAAAATGTTAATGATGGAAAATTTTGCAAAATTCATTGCAATTTCAGTGCAAATGTTGAAATAATGACAGATTGCTAGTTTTGCAAACTGACGGTGGTTCTGTGTGGTCTAAAGTATTTATATATTTTATATTCTATACAAGAGATATTAGATAATTCTACGTTAAATAAATTTAATCAACATATTTAGCTTGTCTGTTTGTTTGTGTTCAATAAACGTCAAAACGGCTAAGCTAAACGGCTAAGAGTTTCGTAAAAAATCCTCCAAAAAAAAGTTTCTATTGCTACAAAAAGTTAAAACCAGAAGAAACGGCGCGCGCAATTGACCCTGTAACCCTTTCGTCTATATATTTATAAATTAGTTCGAAATGTTTGTCTGTTTGTCTATTTGCCTTTCCGATCATAACTCATGAACCCCCTAATAACCGATTAGCCTCAAATTTGAATTAGGGAACTCGTAAGAACTACGACAGGGAATCATCCCAGCTTGTTAGAAATCTTTAAGTTAAGTTGGGTTTAGTTACGATTCCAGGCAAAGCTGGGTACCCAGCTAGTTCAGCTGAGCTGCGAAATATTGTGTATTTATGTGTGTAAGTATGTATATTACCTAATACCTAAATAGACAAACCAAACCGTAATGTCTAAAAAGGTGTTTCAACTCAGAAGTATAAACTAGACAAGTGTCGGGCAATTTTTGAAATTCCACGGGCAATTTCGGTCACTGTATGAAACGGACAGGAAAATAATTAAATTGAATTAATTTTTAAGCATTAAAATTAGCGTAATATTCCTCTATCCGGGGCTCTACCCCTCATGCTGTAAAATTCCTTCCTGTCCCCCCCCCCTCCCTCCTGGTGGCTTATGGACCCCCTCCCCTCCCAGTGGCCAATGGTAATGATGATGAAAGGAAATGGTTCCCTGCTTCAAACCCTTCAAATTTGAAATATTTAAAGGATTGAGTATAATTAGGGTTGGTAAACCTGATATTAATAATCAGTCAGAGACAAATTACTCCGCGCTACCTTCCTGCAAAAAAGTCAATTAAACCTAGTTTCTAAAAGCAGAAGCTCTTTTTGGAACATGCATAGAGTAAATTAGAGACGTGTAATATTTGTGACATAGAGTTTATACGTCGAGGTTATTTAGTTATAGATCTGGGAGTAATATTTGGTTTCAAGGATACAAGGATACAAGAATAGGAGGATACAAGGATACTAGGGTACAAGGACACAAGGGTATAAGGATACAAGGATACAAGGATAAAAAGATACAATACAAGGATACAAGGATACAAAGATACAATACAAGGATACAAGGATACAAAGATAGAAATATGCAAGGTTACGAGGATACAAGGATACACTGCAAGGATATAAGGATACACGAATACAAGGATACAAGGATACAAGGATACAAGGATACAAGATACAAGATACAAGATACAAGATACAAGATACCAGGATACAAGGATACAAGGATGCAAGGATACAAGGATGCAAGGATACAAGGATACAAGGATACAAGGATTCAAGGATAAAAGGATACAAGGATACAAAGATACAAGGATACAGGGATACAAGGATACAAGGATACAAGATACAAGGATACAAGGAAACAAGGATACAAGGATAAAGGGATACAAGGAAACAAGGATACAAGGACACAAGGATACAAGGACACAAGGATACAAGGACACAAGGATACAGGGATACAAGGACACAAGGATACAAGGATACAAGGATACAAGGATACAGGGATACAAGGATACAAGGATACTAGAAAACAAGGATGCAAGGACACAAGGATACAAGGACACAAGGATACAAGGATACAAGGATACAAGGATACAAGGATACAAGGATACAAGGACACAAGGATACAAGGATACAAGGATAACAATTCCAGGGGGGGCTATACTTATACAGGGTTAACACTTCCAAGGGGGGGCTATACTTATACAGGGTTAACACTTCCAAGGGGGGGCTATACTTATACAGGGTTAACACTTCCAGGGGGGGGGGCTATACTTATACAGGGTCAACAATTCTTGGAAAGGGGTCAAAAATTATTTTACCGCCTTTTGACCAACATTTATGCTGACATATGATCCCAAACACAGTGGAATGTTAATATACTAGGATCCTGCTCTGGAAAGTTTCATTTAATTTTCAATTTGATCTCAAAAGACGATAAAATTGTCCACAACTGCATCTCAGGAAAAATTTGAATTCTTCTTATAACGGCGGGTTCCCAAGACCAATTTTGCCTAAATACATCCAGCGAGTAGGACGGACTGTTTTCAATGCAAACTTCTCTAAACCTATATACAAGTTTTAAATCTGAACATTTTGAATATGTATAAAACTCCATCCCAGAAAATTCTCTAAATATATCTAGTGGATAAAAATAGCGTGAGTTACATCAGTATATAGTTTAAAATGCGTAAGTGTAAGTATGTGTAATGGTACCGGTAAGCACTATTTGTGGTTCTTTTATGGATCATTTCTTACAGTTGATTATTTAGTAAACCAAACATGATTAGAGAATAGAGATCAGACTTGCTATAAACCAAACATGATTAGAGAATAGAGATCAGGCTTGCTATAAACCAAACATGATTAGAGAATAGAGATCAGGCTTGCTATAAACCAAACATGATTAGAGAATAGAGATCAGGCTTGGTATAAATAATATTTCTGTTGTTTTCAGATCTTATCAAACATTTGTGAATACTGAATGAGAATTGATGAGTTTCTACTCAAAAGTTAGATCCGCGTATAGTAGAATTCCAACATATATGATGGAACGAGCCTTTTTCAAGTCTCAGTGGCTGCTTAGTTCGGAGACAGTAATCAACATTCTGAAGACAAACATAAAACGGAAAAAATGAGATTTTTTCCTTCAAGTTTTTGTATCAATTCTTCTACACGTTAGGAAGCTAAACAGATAGATAATGTGAATATATAAATAGTTTGGTACGCAGGCATGCAATGGCACAGGAACCAAATCTAGAAATAATGACAGATGATTCGATGTAAAAAGAGTGTGGTTTGCCTGCTAGACAATCCATAGTATAAGAAACCTTAGACATTTCCACATTGGAAGAATAGAAACCATTTACTCACCTCATTCAGTATCTTACTCCCTTATTTAGTTATTTACTATCTTATTCAGTATCTTATACTCCCTTACTCAGTAACTAACCCCCTTATTCAGTATCTTATGCTCCCTTATTTAGTATCTTTTACTCCCTTTTTCAGTAACTAACTCCATTATTTAGTATCTTACTACCTTTTTCAGTATCTTACTCCCTTATTCAGTATCTTACTTCCTTATAAATATCTTACTCCCTTGCTCAGTATCTTAATCCCTTATTTAGTATACTACTCCCTTATTTAGTATCTTACTCCCTTGTTCAGTATCTTACACCCTTATTCAGTATCTTACACCCTTATTCAGTCTCTTAATACCTTATTTAGTATCTTACTCCCTTATTCGGTATCTTACTCCCTTATTTAGTATATTACTCCATTATGTAGTATCTCCCTGTTCAGTATACTACTCCTTTATTTTGTATATTACTCCCTTATGTAGTATCTTACTCCCTTATTTAGTGTATTACTCCTGTATGCCGTATGCAGTATCTTACTCCTTTATTTAGTATCTTACTCCCTTGTTTAGTATTCTTACTCCCATACTCAGTATCTTGCTTCCTTATTCGGTTTCCTAGATCCTTGTTCAGTATCTTACTCCCTTATTCAGTATCATACTTCCTTATTTAGTATCTTACTACCTTATTCAGTATCTTACTCCCTTATTTAGCATCTCACTAAAGTTTATCAAGTAGATTTTACTTGCGTGATATTGGGAGCCCTTTAATTCTGCGCAATTCCGTGCAACAAAGGATGAGATTTCAGAGAAGATTATACAGAATTTATACTGGGTAAACCTCTTCCTTTTTTGTCTAATCATTGAATAGGTCATAAGAAGACTATTTATGGCAGAAAATTCTTTAAGATTCAGGTCGTCTTTACAGTCTCATCCTTTGTGGTTAACACTCTACTTTAAACCGATGCAGAACTGCGTTTATACTTTACAAATGTTTAAACTTGATTTATGATCAGGGATCACGCGAACACTGCTTAGTTCTTTAATATTTGTGTTCAATAATAAAATATAAATTATTCATAAAACCATGTTAAAAGAGACAGTTTAGGGGCTGTAAGTGTAATTTCAAGTGACCATCCATGCAACGATGACAATTCCCGATTCACAACGTTACTCTTGAAATCGTAATCTGATCAAAATGGGATGATTTTAGTCGATTATCTGACTCGAAAAGTGTTTATTTCTGTGAGTTTCTCCATCGCTTCTTATAAGCAAGAAAAGTCACTCACGCAGAGAAACCTCAAATGAAAATTAGCAGTCATACTTCAAAACGTTTAAGGGCATCATTGTAAATCTGGAATCTTTGCATGGCAGGTTACTAGAAAATACGATTACAGTACCTTTGAAAGGCAATATATTATGTTTAAATCTCTTAAAACACGATATGCATTTTATTCTATAAACAAATCCAGTAGAATACATCATATGCACACAAATACATTATTCAAACAATATATTTAGAGTCAGTTTCTGACATTTACAAAATTAAAAGAGTTTAGTCAAATAAACATTTTCTTTGCATCAAAGCTTGAATTACTTTTAAATTTTGATCAAACTCTTTTTATTATTATTTTTTAAAGTTTAATCTTTTTTTACAGAAATTACATAGTTTGATAAAGCCAGGATATATTCTAAATAATGAAAATTTCTAAATGAAATTAAAAATATAAAGTTTCTAAATCTAAAGTTGAGGTCAGAATTTTTTTCTGGAGTATGGTTAATTTTGAACGCATGATCTCGATATCCAATGAGGGCATCTAACACAAGAGTTCTGACTTCTGAACACCAAGGTTATAATGCAAGGAAAGTTCATTGCAGTTGCGTATACTCTGCGTACATATTGAAACCTGTACTCTCTGGTCGGAATTTGTAAACAAGAATAGATGCATCAGTGTTCGTTTAATATCAGAGGAGGTTAAAAGCATTAAATTTTAATAATTTTGATAATTCACATAATAGTTTCCTATGACCAGAATTTTTTATGTGAAAGTTGGATACCATGTCAGGCTTCAAGATCCGTCTTGTGTTTACATTACCGCACAGAGACTGTACACTGCAGTACAAAAGATGCGCACAATTCTGAAATAACTTTCCTTGCATTATAACCTTGCTGAACGACAAGCTCATCAGTCCTCATTCTCTAATTTTCTAATCCTTATACCATCCTAATGTTGGCAATCTTTGATTTACAAACTATAAACTCTGTTTGATCATATAGTTAAAATTTGAAAAATCAAAGGTTTACACCATCAGATAAGTTTGATGTGAGTAAATAAAGTACAGTTTACAATGTCTACTATGAGCGCAGAGTAAACATACCTTGTGTTTATAAATAAGGATTAATCAACTATTATTTTATAGCTTTGTAAAATTCTGAAGTCTAATGTCAACTTGCATGAGAGCTCAAATCACAGATCAATGAATTTTCTACAGTCTTGTTGTCGTATATATCAATACAATGATTTGACTTTATATTTTGATTTTGCTTTGTTTTGCGTGTAAAATTATAATTTAAAAAATGTTATTGAATTGATACAAACGCCGACCACCACGCTACAATGTTTCATATTCTTTTTCTAATTATCTTTCTTAAATCACTTTATGAAAGTTATCAGGTTTATTTTTGCATAGTTCAACTTTAATACTGTTTCTGGCAGACTGGGGGGAGGTGCGGGGGGTAGGAAGGCTGGTGGATAAGGGTATTGAAATGATTCTGAACAGTGCTGATAACTAACCTGAAATAAAAATCTGGTTTGATTATTTTGATATTAGGCCACTTTAAATATGTTTTTTGTGGCCTTTGAAATTTCCCCCTCTCATGCCCCCCTCCCCCTCCCTTACACTATAAAAGATACCCCTTCCCTGAATGACATCTGTATATCTAAACATAAACGGCTGATGATAGATTGTTTTCAATATTCTATAATTTATGTCAAATATTTGACAAATATGCGTTTTTGTTGTACGTCAGCTGCTGAATATGCTTGGACGGAAATCCATCATAATTCGACGCTAAAAGATTGATTGTTGTAAGTCAGCAAAACTGGAAAAAGATTAGCAGTTTAGCTAATAATTATTCTAAAACCATTATTACTTATTTTTTAACTTTTTCGCAGTAGCTTTCCATATTTAAAACGTTTTTAAAGGTCCATTTCAGGCATTCTTTGATTTTATTGGTTGGTTTCCAGTCTTTGGATCAGAACTGTCTGCAATCAATCATTCAATTATTCACCTAATTCATCTAAGTTTGACATCAATTTATTAGTCTAGCACTTGAGGAATATAAACCACCAACACTTCATCAAATATATCTCATTTGATTCATTACCAAGAAAACTTTGATTAAAACTAATGTAAAACTAATACAGTAAGACTGTAAAACTTACTAATGTAAAACTAATACAGTAAGACTGTAAAACTTACTAATATAAAACGAATACAGTAAGACTGTAAAACTTACTAATATAAAACTAATACAGTAAGACTGTAAAACTTACTAAAATAAAACTAACACAGTAAGACTGTAAAACTTACTAATGTAAAACTTGTACAGTAAGACTGTTACTAATATAAAACTAATACAGTAAGACTGTAAAACTGTAAAACTTACTAATGTAAAACTATGATTTTTAATAGTCCAATGATAATTAAACAAATATAAATTTCAAATATAAACTAGATTGCTGAAATGTCGTCTTCCAATTCCAGATGTGTATGGGTCTCACTGTACATAGTTGTTAAATAAATGAAAAATATTGTAGGTTAAAAAAAACACCGCCTTGAATTATTGTCAATTTGTATCTAAAATCTTCAAGGGCCACTTGTATAATTTTCATACCCGCTAAAATTTAAAAAAAATGTATTGGAAGCTTAAAGCTGTCTTCAGCTCTCCCCAGTAACAATTGATAAAAATTACTTAATTAAAAGTTTTAAATTCTACCTTAATTTTTGTATTTTCGGTGTTTGATTCTTTCTATTTTTGATTACTCAGAGTTTCATAGTTTCAGAATTCCATGGTTTCAGAATTCCAAAGTTTCAGAATTCCATAGTTCAAGGATTCCATAGTTTCAGGATTCCAGTTTCAATATTTCGTTGTTTCAGAAATCCATGTTTCCAGGATTCCGGCCATAGTTTCAGAACTCCATAGTTTCAAAATTCCATATTTTCAGAAGTCCATAGTTTAAGAATTCCATGGTTTCAGAATTCCATAGTTTCAGAATTCCATAGTTTCAGAAGTCCATAGTTTCAGAAGCCCATAGTTTCAGAATTCCATAGTTTCAGAATTCCATAGATTCAAATTCCACCAATCCAGAATTCCAGAGTTTCAGGATTAAAGACCACAACAGTTTGTTAAAATGTTTAACAAACATTTATTTAGATTTTCATGATTCCGTACTGTTTATATTATTTCTATGAATTCACTGTACTCTTTTATGTAACTATTATAGTTTTTTTTTCACTCTAATTTGTCTTTGTAGAACTTTATCCTGACTATATTGACTATATACTGACTAATAAGGTTGTTGACTATTTTTAAATCTTTGGTAGTTAATTCTTCTTCTTCTCTGAGTTAAAATTGATTCTAAAAAGAATGATTATTAAAAATAGATAAATTAAATACAAAAAAAACTTAAACTTGATTTTGGTTAAGCTGAATAGTTGTTTGTAAACTAAAAATAGATTAAAATTGAGTGTTTGCTACAAACTCTGATTTTCTAATCTTTACATCTTTGAAACCTAATGTCAAAAACTTTGAACTATGCTAGATCAAATAGTCTAAGTTTGAAATATCAAAAGTTTACGTCTTCAGGTTACAAAGATATAGGGATTAGAAACTTTGAGTTTGTGGCCCAGACTCAATTCCTTTATTTTATTTTAATTTCCGTCTTAAGGGCGCTTCGCACCCCTCTTTCACGTACTAAACACTTACATTATAAGGTTGATAGAAGGGTCTTGGTTGAAGATTTGAACTGCTCTCATCACTTTCATATCCTCCACATTCACTCCTACAGTACATACATGTATCCCCTCTTTTACAATAATCAAAGGAAAACATGTTTACGGGATAATACAGGGTGAACCACAATGTACTTGATCGTCGGAGACATTTTATACACAAAATATAAAGGGAAATTGTACACAGAAAATAATATTTCCATTTGCTGATAGCACCGAATGAAGGATTCACTAATTGGAAATTGAGATAGATAGAAAGATAGATGTTACCACCATACTTTTTTATTGGTTCAGAATAGACACCAAACACATGACTGAACCCTGATTGGATCAGGCGCTAATGGACTTGGCATGCATGAGTGAAAGTCTCCTTAACATTGGACATAAAGGGCTGTACCATGTACATTTAAATGAGAAAGGATTCGTCTCGTGTAGAAGTCATTCTAGTTATGCATGTGTGTCAATATTTTCACAAATCTTCTATCTTTCAAATCCAACCTTTAACATGACGCATCTACTGTATACGCAAACTACCCAGCCTTACGCAAAATATTGTTGCCAAAATATTATTCGCAATACCTTCCGCTGTCTGGTTGCAATCATATAAATACCTTGTAAACTAGTAAAACCCTGGCTGTTATAAAGTAACTCTGTGCGTGAATAAACGTATCTATACTCAAACTACTCTTTTCAAGTAAGTCATTTTTTTCATAGAAGTGTTAATAAGAATGAAAAAGAGGTTTTTTTAGTCTTTTATTGAAGTACGTTTTTGAAGTTACTCAAATCTGGCGAGCGTGGGTCCACTTTCGAACCTTTTTTATGATTGAGAACAATTTCAGTTAATTAAACAATTTTTTTAAATTTCTTTCTTTTTTGTTCTGATTAACACTTTTTGTACATTTTGTTGGTAAAATCACTATTTTATTAAGGTGATCTTAGTATTTTTCCGATTTTTCAAGCATTTGGGTTTTTTGAGGTTTTTGTCTTCAGTTTTTGTCTAAAATTAACAGAGTACAAGGAGCGGCGGATGCCATCTTTTTAAGATATCCTGTTGTACGTTGTGTATACACTGTTAGTTGAAGA